TCTCTCCATCCCTGGAGTCTCTCTCCATCCCTGGAGGTCTCTCTCCATCCCAAGAGGTCTCCATCCCACCCCGCTGCCGGGAGGAGCTGCTCCCCCTGTCCCTCTGCTCCTCCGCTGCCCTCGCCTGCCGCCTGCAACCCCCTGAGACATTTTTGTAGCAAGAATTTCTTGGCTCTGAGAAAGACACTTCTTACTGTAATATTTTTAGTTTGGGGGACAATATTTCCTAAGAGGGGTTAAGTGGATATTTTTGTGCTTTAGCCCAGTTTATGGATTCCATGTTTATTATACAGTAGTACCGAAGAGGAAGTACATTTGTATCTGTAACTTTGCACAGACTCTTGGTTAACCATTAAACAAGCTTCAAGATGAGCAGTATTTGACTGTTTTTCTCTGTATTATTCTTGTTGTTATACTTACCTGTAAAAGCACATTCTGTATGTACTGTAAACAAAAATATTATCAGTTTAGTAAAATTTAGAGTCTTAAGGATTTTTCCACTTTTGTCAGTAACAACTATTTATGGATTAAAAAATAAAGGCAATTTCAACATATAAAATGTTTCTTTTTGATATCTATTGGGGGGAAATAAAAGCCATTTTCTTGGCAGCCTTCCCAATCTTTGTAACCAGCGTTTGAAAGGTAGATATCTGTGATTCTGTGTGTAGTTAAATAGCATCTATTAAAATGAATGCTGCAAGGTCTGGAAGACTCATTATTTTTATGTATTTATTTACTGCATTTCATCATCTTGCCAGGAAAAAGCAGGGGGAGTGGAGAGACATTACCACTTGCTGTAAAATTTTGTCTCACAAGYCTAGAAGATTTTATTTTCAAGCTACCCTTCTTTAAGTTAACCTCCATAATGCATGATATTGCCCCATCTAGAAAGCCTTGAATTGCAAAGTTCGACCTTGTGGAATGTCCATGTGCTGAGGCTTCCACAGGAACTTTGCTTTTGCCCTTGGGGCACACATTGGAGTTTCCCCATCACCCCTCCAGGATGTGAAAGCRCCAGGGAGGTCGGGGTGGGTGTGACTGAGCAGCCCCCAGTGCCACCACAGAGAGGTCAAACTGCATTTTCATTTCCACCAGCTCTGAGTCTGAGCTTCCTCACAACTGTGTCCAGCTGGGAAACACTGCGGGGTTCTTTTATTGTATTTTGTGAAGGAAATGGAAAATTTCCTATTTCCATTTCCATGTTCATTTGCCTTCAGCATCATGCACATTTGCTTACATTAAGAACTGTGAGAGCTGGGCAGGGCTGTTGAGGTGTCAGTGCCCTGCCAGAGCACAGCTCTGGGGTGCAGGGAGGGTGGGGAACACTCCCCTCCCAGCCTGGTGCTGCTGCCAGCCCGTCCCTGTGTCACCAGAAGTGTGGGAAAAACAA